TACCCACCATGGACACCATATATTTAGATGGCTACATAAGAGAAAAAAATCATTTCTATCTTACATAACCCACTGTTATTTCTGGATTTCTCTGTTAACTGAAGTCATGCTTAACTCTAACACAAATATATGAGAATCAAAACTACCATGATCCTAATGGAAATGAAAATAAGGCAAGTTTGAGGGGTGATATGAAAAACTGAATTATATCATTTCCAGCCTGAACTAACTTACATTCCCTTGAAACTTCCTAAAATGACTCTTACTGTCCTGTCTATAATTCTTCTCCCTGGACCTCCCACTTTGTAAGTTCGCTCGTTCCTCTCTCTAGAAAAAGACATCTACTTTAACCCCACTTTTCTGGTGTGAACTGTCCCAATCCCTAATTTGCCAAGCACGTTCCTGAAGCTGGATTACCTCCAACGTGTACTTTCCTTATCCCCACTTGCAGTCCTCCCCCATGCTGCTCTATCCTGCACCCTACTACATTTGTGTTCCTACATACCACGTTTAACAAGCCGCAACCCAGTTAAAACCATTAATGTTCACTACTGGCTAAATAGTGGTGCTACTACCTTTCACCTCCTAACCTTGCAATGCACATGACAGAGAATGCAAGCTGATCACAGCTCTCTTTCCAAAAGAGCAGCCAGAATCCTGCCCAACAGAAAGTGTTTAATATTGAGTCTGTCAAGGAGGAACTGGCACTCGGAAGAAATCCATGTGTATCCCTGATGCAAAATATCAAGTCTAAAGTACTAGGTCTGTATTTCAAAACTCCAAATATCTGATTATGTTCTTGGAGTGCTGTCTTGTAAGAACCTATAAAAATATATGAAAGACTTTGAAATGCAATAAGAACTTATTGAGTGTCTCCAATAAGTGGGGAAAGGGTTTTCAGGGGCAACTATAAAAGACACATGGACAAAACCAAGGGGAAATGAAATCAAGGGAGGAAGGTGGGGATGGGGTGGGGGGAGTTTTGGGAGGGAAATTCAGACAATCATACCTGAAAAACAATAAAATAATAACTAAAAATGAAAAAAAAAACCTAGTTTTTGCCTAACACACTCTTCTTGGTATTCTGATTCTTCTACGCCACAGGTGGCAAACAGAAGGTCTGAGGGCTGAATCCGGCCTTCCACCTTGTTTCTATCCTGCAGCAGCACCAAGCTCCCGCTTAACGGTCAAGGAGTAGTTACATGTATACAGTCCTAAAATTGTATTCGGCCCTTTGAAGGCAACCACAAGGCTGATGTGGGCCCTGGTGAAAATGAGTTTGGCGCCCTGTTCTATGGGATCTCTGTACCTGTCAGTGTCTTGAGCTCTTTGTAACTCTGAATCATAGATAACAATGGCAATGCAAACAATTCTTGTTCACAGATACAGAAATAAATTTTGTCTAGGGAGGTCCAGTTGACTTCCTCCCTCTACTATGGAAAAGCCAGCTTTGCGTCTATTTTAAATTCCTCAGTGCCTAGGTATGTGTGGTTCATTGTTCTGTTCAGTCATTTATAACATCTTACTCATTCTCTCATTAATTAACAAGTTAAACAAACTCATTTGTTATGAGCTCATTTTTTAACTCGTCTGAGTCATGATTTATTTCATGATTTTACACTTTAAAAGCATCCTTTTAACAAACTCTTTGTTCATTACTACCTTCCAAGTTTGTACACTCACTGTGGAATGACTTCCCTGGCTCTTTCTACCCCACACTACAGACTCTTCACATTTCAGAGATGCTTCTAGTCCCCTAAAACTAATCTAATCATGTCCTCAAACTACAAAATCTATTATTTTTCACAATGAACTTACACTGCCATGATGTCTTAATTTATTTTACAATTATTTTTTATTTATAATGGCTTCTACAATATGTATTACCTGCTTTATTCATGTGTCACAGTGTATTTTTATCTTACATCATTAATTTATTTATGTGTAAGTAACTTCTCTTCTAAACTAAAGTATAAGCTCCTGGAGAGAGCTAATCACAATCGATTCTTCCTCCTCTTCAGTGACAGTGCGCTGTGTACAGTGCCCGATAAACATCCACCGTGAGTCCCATTTACGGCCCATGGACTGGGCTCTCCATCAAGATTTTTTTCAGGCTATCACTTAGCTTTATTTGGAGAATCACCTGCTATAGTTTGGATGAAGGTGGTTTCTTCTTAGCAAAATTCACACTAAACTTTAATGAAAACTGTTAGTTTCTGTGAAACACCCCATGAAGTACAGTGCGGATCAGAAATGCTAGGAAGAAAGAGGAATACATTAATCTAGTTCTGGGAGATTTTTCCCCCTAACTAACGGACTTGTATAACCTGGTGCTGTACAAACCTATATCCCTAAGTGCTCTTATATACCCCTCTTATATGAGGGTCAGACACACTCAACTCAGGATTCATCATTTCATGCTACAGATATTTATTGTCCACTACACAGAAAATTTGATGGGCCCTGGGAAGCATTTGTAAGTAATTTGTCATTTTTAATCCAAGAAGCTTACCTGCTATTGAAGGAGGAAAGGGACAAATGGAGGAAGAGGAGGAAAAATGGACACAGGGTTATGACCTAAGCACTCAGATAACTGGTGACAAGACCAATCAGGGTGCTCATTACGATGAAAAGACCATCTTATCTTTTATAATCTATTATCACTACTGAACTTTTAAAATCAATCTAGTGCAAATATTAATGAAACAATAAAATGCCAGACTTTTGCAGACTCCAGTCATCATAATACACACCCCCCATTCAGTGCCTTATGTAGACCACCCACCCAGCCAAATGTCAACCACCAACATGTTCTTATGGTTTAAGTGCTGAGTAGTGAAGGAATAATAGATGATCTTGAGATCACTTTCAACATGTCTGATCTTATGAACTGTAAAATATTTTACCAGTTGAGTAGTCTACCAATGCATGTAAAGTCAAAGGACTTTATAATATTTGAGCATTAACATTATTACTTGAGCACATTCATTTTTATGGTTTTACTTAATTACTTCAAATTAAACCCATCTTGAGAATATTGCCACTATAAAAATCCTATTCCATTTAATCAATTTTTATTTTTCTCATGACGACTTTTCATTTTTACCTTTATCCCTAAAGGAATCCTTAGAATAAGATATTATAATTCTACTCCACAGTAGTTTTAGTAAATAGATTATATAAATAAGAAAAAGACTAACAAGTACTAATGAATGTCATAGGCTTTTTGTTATTGTTGATATAATTTTCAGCTTCATGTGGCATATTGGTATAACTAAAATGTTTAAATAAGGAACAATAAACAATCACATAATGATAACTATAAGCTAAATTTGGTTGGTCCTAAATATTTCCACATATACTTTCTCTCTTAATTCTCACAATCTGATATAATAAGTTTACTTAAAATCATGTTTACAAATGAAGAAATCAAGGGACAAACGATCTGCTAAAATGTTGTATAAGTGGCATTTTGTGTGCTGAGCTTAAGTCCTCAAAATCAGAATTCCTGTTCTTGTTCATGCTTTTAAAAAGAGCATTTAGTTCATAAGCCAAATCCTGTTGGCAAGACACTCCCTAAGGTTAAGTAAAATATATGTGGAGGAACACTAAACATTTTATTCCCCTACAATGTCATCATGCTGAAACTGAGAAGGTCAGTGTACTTTCCAAATGGCCCAGTTAAATCTAAGGAATAGATTATTTACCCACGAGGGTCTGGACACTGTCAATCAAAGTCACTTGTTTACACAGGACTAAAATGTGCTAAATTAGCATCTTTCCATTCCTCACGCTCACAGAATAAATATTTCATTCTTCATTAGCCTTATTGTTTAAAAGTTTCTTATTTTTTCCTGTTCATTAAATATATTAAAAGAAAAAATAAAAATCACCACTAGGCCCAAGACACTCAATATTTTTGTGTCTTTTCTTAAAGTCTTTTTTAATATAAAATATGTATATTTAATACTTGCACCATACTCTCCATTACACCTTTATATACCACTAGTTCCCCTCATATAACAGCATGGTAACATTTACTTTTTAAAACTATGACTTTTTATGGCTGAATAATATTTCATCATAAAGTGGTACCATAATTTAACTATTCTTTCAATTCACATGGCTTTTATTATAAAAATGTTTCTTTATAAAAGTAACATAAAATTTTAAAAACAGAATAAATGAAATCACAGCCCTAATTCTTGTCTAACAAGTCACTTTTATGAGTTGTGCTCATTCTCTTGTATTCTTTTCTCACATATTTCTCATTTAATGTTATCATGAGAGTACACACAATTTCACACATTGAATTTGTTTCCACTTAACATTTTATTATATGCCTTTTCCATAACTGCTGTGGCAAATTGGGCGGAGACTCCACACTACATCTAACCGTTATTTTACTGTCGAACAAAAAGCCATGTCCCCTTTTTATTCTAAAATCATCTAAAATAAATCATTTTTCAGTTAACACTACAAGTATGTAGTCTTTACATTCATGTACTTAAAAATATTTCTTAATATTAGATTCCTGCAAGTAAGATTGAGAAAAAAGCTGACCAGCTTTTATCATTATTTTTCATATTAGTAAAAATATTGAAGTAGAATATCTGGACTCCAAAGTATAAATAGCATCCTGATCTTAGTTTTGTATCAGCCAGTCCTTTCAGTGACTGAGAAATACAGAAACAACTATACAGGGTATTGATTACATTTAAACTAATTATATTTTCCATAAATTAGTATATCCTGGCATCATCAGAATAAAGAAAGCAGTGACCACTTACGTGTGCACATTTTTGATAAAAAATGTATTCATTTTAAAAGTCTGTATCCACATACTGGTCACATATAATTTAGCTTATTTTACCCTGTGAATCCGAGATGTAGTTTTAGAAATGCCCCCAGGAACTGCTTCCTGCGGAGAGTGCTCTGGAACCCACATCGGGACACGGCAGTGCTTCTGATAAAAGGACAGAGAAAATGCCCCTACTTACCATTTCTAACACGTTCACACGGTCCTGCAAATAAAGCACAGCATATAATTATAAAAACAAAGCCATTAAAATAACTTCAAGTTTACATAATAGATTTCCTTTCTATTCTGTTAGTAATAACTTATTTTTAAGATGTAAGAAATGAAAATTCAGGATGATCTCTACAATAGAATTAACACAAAAGCATCACTATGCCTTTTTTCATCTGTGTAGGAGTTAGGACTGCAGGGTTTCATCTGACAGCAAGTACCATAAATTCATATATAATTATGAAATGGAATAGATTTTACCACTTTTGCATTGGCAAATGTATTTGTCTACTTAAGAATATATAATATTAGATACATTTAAATACATAAACCATAAATAGACAATAGTAGTGATATGAAAATTGAGATGTTTGATCTCATAGGAAGGTAAAGTTCGGAGATAAGGAGAAAAAAAGAATACTTCATCAAATAAAATTAATAAATAAATTGTTCATTAAAACAAGGCAAGAAAGATAAATGAGAAATATATGTTACATGCAACCAATCCAGACAGGCCTTCAGGGCTAAGATTTTACAGAAATATTGGTCTTTCAGAGGGTTACTGAAAGTAATGCTTAAAAAGATAAAGAATCAAGAAAACATTTGCATTCCCCAACCAGCAGCTGTATTCTCAACTCTTCTCAGAACTGACAGCTACAGGCAGGGAGTTTTCACCAAAGATAGAAGGCTGAATCTGAGTAGGAAGAGAATCAAGATTTAAGATAGTGGAACGCCATCCTTTGTGGGGGGGGGGGGGCGGGCAAGGCCACTTTTCTTCCTTTTCTTTCACTTTAAGCAGTTGGATGAGGTATGTAAAATCTTTTTTTGTTGTTGTTTATTTGTTAATTAACATTAACAAATTAATCATTTAGTCCTATGAGGAAAAGGGACAGGTATGGTACAGAGAGCCACTCAGATCAGGGGCCTTGCGGCTCCACTGGGACCACCAGAGACCCATGACACTCGGGAGCAAAAAGAACGGGGCCCACATCACCGTTCCCTGAGCCTCACCGAACACAGCTCCCAGCCTCGTTCTGAGGACTTCTGCAACCCAGCCTCTGAGCCTCAAACTGGGAGACTTGAGTTGCACATTCCTACCCTTAAACATTTGGCTATGTGGGCACGAGTTAAATGAACAAATTATGCAAAATCAGCCCACAGCAGATGGTTTTTACCAATATACTCTGTTTAACTACATTTTGTTGGCACACTTGAGAGGACCTCACCCTTGAACACAGAGTTTCCTGAAGTAACTGCTATTTTGCTGGGGACCTGTGCGCTGTCACATTTGAGTGCTTCATGATAAATGCACCTAATGTCTCGAGTGGGCTTTGATATGTTGTTGCCAGGCATCTTATTCACAGTGTACCTGGGACAAAACCATTTGGCAATACTTTATCATTCTTGGCAGACTGAACAGAACCTCATTAGATGCCTCAAGGAGACAGAAACAGCCTTTGTGCCACGTCACATGTATATGAGCCATCTTAGGGCGCTCAACATTTTCACAGCCACTGTTTGGGCCTTACGTTTTTCCCATAACATGTATTTATGGGCACATATTATTAGAGATTTGAATATTTTAAAAAGCACATGTGCGGCTGGTATGTAATAAGTAATTTCATATGACGTCACAGCAGAATTGAATTAAAGTGTCTAAATTCATAAACTCAGTATTTAGCAAAAATAAACTTGAATATCTGTTACAGGATTTTAAATGAAACACGTATTGTCATGGACTACACATTTTTATCTTCATGAAATTCACGTGCTGAAACCCCCGGTGTGATGGCATTTGAACGCGAGGCCTTTGGAAGGTAATCCAGTCATAAGAACAGAGCCCTCAAGATGGAACGAGTGTCCTTATAGGAAGACACATGAAAACGCTTGCTGCTTTTTCTGCTCTCTGCCATGTAAGGACATAAGGAGAAGATGGCCTTCTCCAAGAACCAAATCTGCCAGCACCTTGATCTTGGACTTTCCAGCCTCCAGAACTGTAAGAAATAAGTGTTTGCTGTTTAAGTCACCCAGTCAGTGGCACTGTGATTTGTCATAGCAGTCCAAGCTGACTAAGAAGACCTGTGCTTGGTCTGTAAGACTGTTCAGAAATGGCCAAAACCCCTCCATTTTGTTAAATTATGAAGATCAATAAATGATTATGATATTGATACAATTTACTGACATCTGTTTGTCTATAACCTACTTCATTCCCAATCGATAAATAATTATTTTGATGCAAATTACTTATGTCTATAATTGACTTCATTCCAATATGGTACTAAGACAGCTTTCCATAAAAAAGTACATTTTCATAAAAAGAAAATTCAGGAAATAGAAGCATTCAGTTTACCAACCTAAATTTAAATAATTCAATTTGTCAATCAACAATTAACAGAATACCAGCCATTGCAGCCAATTAGTGAGCTCTGTCTAAATGTAGTTTTTTGGTCCTAATTTTAAGACTATAAATAAAAAGAACCTACACTAAGTCTTTATAAACTTATTAATTTGTTTTTTAAATTTAAGAAATCTATTCTGCAATTTAAATGTTTATAGCCAACTTCCTTTTTGGCAAACAATATTGGCTATTATAATTCTGTACATAAAAGAATTAGGCTACTGCACATCCTTATTCTCAAATAAAATATCTGCATACTTTCTCTCATGTTCTTATTATTATAATAGAGGTAACTTAAGCCCATTCTGTGGCATTAATACAATCTATAAAAATGCCAGTGTATGTCCTAGAATTAACATGTAATTATAGCAGAATAAATTCTACTCTTCTTGACCTCTCCCACTCTTACTAGAACTGCAGTTGGAGTGTTTGGTTGTTGAAGTCTAATCTCCATTTCTCAAATCAACCTTCTGGTTCAACACGTTCCCAGCTCCCCCTTCACAAACACCCCTCAGCTCCAGCTTGGACCCTGAAAAGGACTGTTAGGACTCTGAGAGCGGGGTTAGCAGATGGGAAGAGTAAAATGCCTCCAGAAGTAATAAAGACACTCTCACTAGAATCATGATATGTCAGGTGGACTCAATAAGACAGTGGCTCTTATTTTTGTAGTCATGGACTTCGAGAGTCTAACGAAGCTTAATCTTCTCCCCGGGACTGTATATTACCCACAACACACACATAATCTGAACATACTTTTAGGGGAACTGCAGACTCTCTGAAGCCCACCCATAGGCCTTCAAGTCCTTTTACCCTAAATAAGATGTGAAATAAGATGTAAGAATATTATGTAAATAAATTATTTTATTAAATCATATCTATTTCTCCTCTATGAAATATTTGTAGATAAATAGTAGCAAAAACAAAAGGAAAAACACCAATTGGGAGTGGAAGGTCCAAAAAATCAAAGAAAAAAATTTCCTTCAAGTATTTTGAAAAAAAAAAAAAAGTTCTTGGGGAAAACAACCTTTTCATTGCTATTGCTTTTTTTGTGGTTGGGTATTATTCTCTTTTCCACTACTGTTTAGTTCCAAGGGAGGAAAAGTCTAACAAACACATAAAATAGCAACAATTATTTTACTGTTTACTCCTAAATATTATACATGTAGTCACTGCCTTGTCACTGAGCTATAATGGAGCCAGCTGGTCTCACCAATATGAATATCACCCTTATTTCTAAGGGAAAGTAATGCTGCTACACTTAACATTTTATGTCTACTTGACAGATCAAGTGGGGGAAGCCTATACCATACTTACTATAAAAATATGTATTCTATTAAAAAATTCTTTAAAATGCATTTTAACTTTTTATGATGAGGTTAGTAACTTGCCTTGAGCTGTATATATTCCTTTGCTACTTGGTCATAACAGGGTGTACACTGGAATTTGTAACTGCACAAGGGCAAATTCATTAGTATCATTGGAAATGGGCAAAAATTTGTTAGGATACGGGCACTAAATGGATCTTTGGTATCTGAATCCCTGATCATTAACAGTTTATTTGATTCAGCTGAGCCAATCAATTAGACACATTGATTCACCCAACCCATTTAAGTCATGAATTGGAGGCCTAATAGGTCCAAATAATCAGAGTTCTTCTGTCTTTGGTAAGTATAGTTGAACAAGTCCAGTGGCTTCATTTTATCACAATAATGTAGCATTTTCCGAGAATACTTTAAATATATCCATTAGCACGTGAAAAACATGATACTGACATAAAAATATACCAACCGTTTCTAACCCTTCCAAGGCTAAGAAGCTTTAAGAGTACAGTGCAGAATGATTTTGACAACTTCTCTAACAATGAAGGCTTATGGTAGACAGATAATTTTAAAAAAGAAAAACGCACAATGGGGACTCCCTCCCATCATGGCTATAAAAGCACAAAGCCTCTCTTTCGAAAGAAAGATCCACTTGGCTTCTTCCAGAGAGACCACTGCATGGCATTTTCCCTGTCAGTGCTAACTCTGTTTCATCAACCCTCACATTTTATCTGCTACTTCCTGTATGAGTGATATAAAATGAAATGCAAATATGTACCCTTCCTTCCTGACGCATTTCCACATGGCAATCCATCACACTTACCAAACTGCCAATCATTTTTTAATAAATAAAAGAGCTAGAAATAATTTCAGATGTATTCCTTTCCAAACTTCAAGATATTAAAAGAAAGAAAAGGTTTTTACTAACCACCACAGAAAAAGATCAGTGTTTGGTGATTTAAAGCAAAGGAAAACAAAATAGAAACAAAAATCACAAACAACCTCAACATTGTCACATCAAAAAAGATATAGACTATAGCATAAGCTGGCTTTGGATTACCAAGTGCATAAGCAACCTATACATAAAATTGTATCGGATCTATTGAAAGTCAGACCAAGTTACTGTGTACTGGTGAGAAACTTTAGGGAGGGGCCGTAGGACAGCTGGGGTGGCTTGGGGGTGTTTCCCAGTCCCCCAGGGTTGGAGTTAGCCATCAGTAAGTACTGGGTGTGTGTCTTTGTAAACTCATCTCACGCGCTGCTTATAAGCCCTTTTCAAATAATCTACCTAAGGATCCAAAATAACAAAACAAGTATTGAAAAGGAAACCACATCAAGGCATCAAGATTTTGTCTAAAATGTTGTCAATATGGATTCCTGAACATTTTGACTTATTAAAAAAAAAAGCCTGTTTAAAAAGATGCAACATTTCCTTGCACAGAAGCCAGTAATGTTCTTTGCTATTTTTCACCCAGAAAGTAGAAAATCAGAAGAACTATGACAAGACTTAAGAACGGAGTCACAGTGTGTGCTCCACACTTCTGACCTGTTCACTCACCCACCACTATCGCCGTGACAGAGCCCAGAGGCACTCAGCTGTTCTGTCCTTCTGCTACATTCCCAGGTTGGCACCTCTGCTTTACAATCTTGTTTGTTAGGAGGCCATTACTGACCATTATACTTTGGTTTGACGCCATTCAGGAAAGGCTAACTTTGCATTGACACTGAAGTGGGACAAGTGCCTGGGCTTGTAGGGTGGGAATGCAAGTGCAGGGGGAGAGAAAGATATGCAAACGTGGCTCTGTTGCTTTGTTTCAAGAGATTTCATGCTGGAAAATGCAGCCAGAAGTTAAGTATGGGTTTTGCTAAAAGTCCCTTCAAACACTTCCTGTCAACTGTATGAAATACCAAAAAAATCTCAGATTCACTCTTTTTATTTCACACCATGAAGCAATGCAATGAGGCTTAATTTTTTTTCTTGAAAACAAAGAATCGCTTTGAGAATCTTTGAAGCACAAATGCAGTGTGATGCACAGACAGGGGCCTATAGGATAAAACTACAAACCAAGTGAAGGGCAGAAGACACAGAATTATCTTTCCCTTGGAAGCGGTTTCAGTTCCACAGCGAAACTGCTGGAACCAGGTATCAAGAGTTCAGTGAATGACATCTGGACTGGGGAACAACTAAAATGTATTTGCAGGTACTATAAAGGCTGTGATGGTGGTTAGGGCAGTGCAAATGACAATCAATGTAGTTTGAAAGACTGACTGTCCCTCAAGAGAGACGTAGGAACTGGAGCTGAGTAGTAGAGGGAGAAAGCCAACGGCCTAGGAGCCAACACAGCCTGTGATTTTTTTTTTCAAGGATTTACATTTTAGGAAATAAAGTACATGTCTCCCATTGTGAGGTTAGTCATATATCAGCTGAATGTGCTCTGAACTCTTATGCAAATCACAGTGCAATGGTGATTAAGGCATAATTTATGAGTAGGTTCGTGTCATACAGAACTTGTGGAAACAATAGGGTGTGCTTTTTTTCCAGGGTGTGCAGGACTGTCACCAAACAGAGCTGGTCCAATGAGACTCCCTGAGGCTGACATTTCCTTTGTTGCCCTCAAGGACAAGTATCTCCTGGCCTTCCAGGTGAAGAACATTCACAAGGAAACATACCTAACCATGGAACCCTATGCCTCCAGCTCCTTCCTCCTGAATATTTGAATCACAGCTCTGGATTGCTGGCTGTCATGCACATCACACAGTTGAGTCATTAAACGGTACAGGCACTCAGTCCGCATTTGGAATTAAACTGCTTACCTTTGAGCAATTTCAATAATCCACATCCTAATTTAGACGCAGAGTCATTTACTCAATTCTTCTCAGGAATTAAGCACAAGTAACATTATATTAGAGACTCTCACTCCCATGTCCATATTCCTTCTGTGGGCTTCTGAGTACAGGTACCTCTCACTGCTCTATGCTAAAGAGAGAGGCTATTGATAAGGATAATCAAGACACAAGCAGATAGTTTTAAATAATATATTTGGCTGATGAGGTAAGTTTTTATTTCTACTGTAGTTTGACCATGATTAAAGCTATTATTAATTTCCATTTCCTAATATACAAACACAGGTAGAAATGGAAAGGTAGTCGAGGGATTTAAAACAAACCTTAGGTTATCTATAGTCTGAAAATCAGTGGTGATTATTAATATATAAGAAAACTGAGGAAAAACCCAACAGACTTATTTTTTGGTTGCACTTCTGGAAAGCATGTCTGAAGGCTGACTTACAGTGAAATACAGTAAATGTATTTTGACTATTAGTTTTAAATATCCTAAATATTTCTACCTATGAAATACTTAACTGCTTTTTCTTCCATTCGAGCTTCACTCTGATTTTTCATGGCAGTCTGACTAGCATCTTCCCAAGGTGGAGTGTTAAATTGTAGCTCTGGCTGTTTGAGAGAGACGTGAGTAAAGAAAAAGATTTGGAAAGCTCTACTACCTTAAAATCATTGAAAGCACTATAAATAGTAATAACCATAAAGATAACACTGATAGGCCCATAATAATTTTTTAAAAATTTAATACTTGCATTTGGGGAAAATATCATATACACTTTAAAAATTTATTGATTAATTTTAGAGAGAGAAAAAGGAAAGAGAGCGAGATCAATTCATTGTCCCACTTATGTATTAATTCATCGGTTGATTCTTGTATGTGCCCTGACTGGGGATTGAACCTACAACCTCGGTGTATTGGGTCGATGCCCTAACCAACTGAGCCACCTAGTCAGGGCTCATGCTGTACTTCTAAAATATTCCCCCAAATAATTCCATACCCAACTTAAAGTCATACATTTTAGGAAAACCATTACTTGAAATCTAAAACATTTTATTCCTTAGGATTAGAAATAAAGAGTAGTGATTTAGTTCAAAGCATCCTCAATTGTCTTGTTTTCATAATCATTCCTGGAAAGCACTGGTCCTAAATTCTAAAGTCTATGAAATGAAAGAATAAATAAGCTAAGAGCTTGTTAGGCACACCTGGGCAGTTTTAAGCAATGAAATCTAATGTTAATACTGACGACCTTACCTGTGAATAATGAAGCAGTGATGTGTATGATTCTAAAAGTTCAGAAAGGTCTAATTACTCAAAATTATACTCTCCTTCCATATGCAAAATTATTTAAAATTCTACCAGTGCAAATTTATTCTTTGAGGAAGAACTCAAAAATGTATTCTTTGCCCACATTCCAGTTAATTTTTTAAAAGGCAAACATCTGCGAGATCAATAACCATTAAACTAGTTCATTCCAAGGCAGAGGTCAGCAAAGTAGGACACTGGGTCAAATCCAGCCCACTGACTGTTTTTATAGGTCCATGAGCTAAGAAGGGTTTTTACTGTTTTATTGGGTTGGCCACAAATTTCGTTAGATTTTTCCGTACAATGGCTCTAGAAGTGCTTAGCTGCCTTCAACTTCAATTGAAACAATTTTGATAGATTGTCTTGGGACAGCTGTCATATCAGTATACACTTAAAAAACTTATCAAAATTTATGAATTTTTGTGCAGCCATTTTAATATTGAAAATGAAAGAACACACATTTTGGGGTATTGTACTTTATGATTTCAAGAAAGGTAATAATGCAACTGAAATGCAAAAGATTTGTGCAATGTATGGAGAAGGTGCTGTGACCGATCGAACATGTCAAAAGTGGTTTCCAAAGTTTCTTGGTACTACTGACATTTTGGCCAAATAATTCCTTGTTGTGGGGCTGTCTCATGCATTGGAAGATGTTTAGCAGCACCCCTGGCTTCGACCCACAAGACTAGAAGCCAATAGCAGGAGAGAGCCAACATACTCAAAATATCCAAATCAATAAAGCTATTGGTATAAATGAGAAATGTGTCTTTATTTTACAGAAAAAAAACTAAACGGACTTTTTGGCCAACCCAATACTTGGCTGAAAATAATATCAAAGTAAGAATACCATTCCATGACATGTAAAAATTACATGAAATTCAAATTTCAGTTTCCATAAATAAGGTAGTATTGGAACCTAGCCCATTCCTCTGTTTATATACGGTCTATAGCTGCTTTTATTCTGTAATGGTGGAAGGGAATTGTTGTAAGGTAGTATGTTGCCTGTAAGATCGAAAAGATTTAGACTTTGCCCTTACAGGAGAATGACCACCCTCTGTTCAAGGGTGTCTGTATCCTTTAAATAAATGTATGGAGATAAAGAAACTGCGGTGCAGGGTGGGGGCAGAGATTTACTTTAGACAGGTGGGTCAGGTTAAGTTCCTACAAAGAGTTGACATCTGAGCTGGAAAAAAAAGGACGAATGAGCCCTTATGGAAAGACCTACAGGAAAAGCACGAGAGGCGGCAGCACACCCAAAGCTCCTGGAACACTGAAGGGTTTGCTTAACTTCAGGAACAAAGGGACTGGTACGTGTGTCGTGGCTATTAATGAAAACATCCATTTAAATGACCAGTATCCTAAAAAGCAACATTATTTATTGAGAGGTTATTATTTGCCAAAAATTATATTGGGTGAATTCACATATGTTCTCATTTAATGCTAACAGAAAGCCTCAGTAGGCGAACATTATTAATTTTGTTCACTTAAAGTCAAAGAAACAGACTCCAAGATATTAAATGTATTGAATTGCATACTGTGATTTAATGTTGGAGTTTAGACTATAATCCAGGTCCACCTGAATTAAAGAAGTCTATACTAACTCTCAAAAACAAATTAAAGGTCACCTTTTAATATATATATATTTAATAGCTCCTTGAAATGAAGCTAATGGAAATACCATAGCTAACAGTGTAGTTTTATGAGCAAATAGACAATAAATGCCTTTTTATTACCACTGGGGCTATTGTGTGTGTGTGTATGTGTGTGTGCGGGGGAGATTAGGGGACAGACTGGAAAACTGCTCCGAAGCCTCTTTCTCAGAAGCACACATGCCAGAACCGCATTCCAGAATTTTATTTTCAACAGATGTCAGTTATCAGTATAACAAAACACAATAAAATTTAATGTTCAAATAAAAACCATTATTGGTACATATTTTTATATTTACTTACTATATAATAAAAGGGATTATATTCCTGCCATCTGCCTTTCTTAAGGAAGTGGCAGGTCCTTCTTACTCCCGGGTCTGACTCGAGGCCAGCTGAAGCACACACAGTCCACGCCACAGGGAACGGCCAGAAGAAAGGACAAAGGAGAGCTGAGGTCTGAACCAACTAGCTGTGCTGCTCTGCAGGGTAACGGCACTGCCCTGCTGCTCCCTCCAGTCTTTCAGATCTGGCCGCAGGAGTTTAGATTCGTCACTGGCTCATAAATGGCCTCTTTCCCCACGCCTGTTCCATTTGTCACAAATTTGTTAGTTCTTTCAAATGGTGAAATGAGAACTTAGGATTTCAATTACAACCAGAATGTACTAAAGACATGGAGTCTCTTCTAGGTAATATTTTCTATTTCATTTTATGAGCAAATATAGAAATAATGTTAGCAGACAGTTAATGTTATTTATTAGCATCCTAATAAGCCTTCATACTTCTAATGGTAAACATTAAACTTCAAACAAATTAAATTTAGAATAGTAAGTGTAATGTTAGGTATTCTCAAAAAGAAAAGCACTTCAGAATCAATTTTTTTAAAACAAAAGAATCACTGATCATGATAAAAAGACAAAGGTATAAGAGGAGATGCTTATTAGTCATTTTTGCAGTTCACTTTAGTTTTATCACTTTTTGTACAATTTAAAATTTATGCAAACATTTTCAATGTTGCCTTTAATTTTTGCCAGAATATTTTGAACCTGGTTTAAAACTGAAATTGAAGAAGCCCGAGGAGGGCTTTAATAACAACTTTCTTCAGTCTGTTTATTTAAAACATGATGAATAAGCAAAAAGAAAAGGTGCAGAATGGAAAAAGAAAAATGATCCCTTCTCCTTCCTAGAAGTGCTCAAGATTACTGGATTGTTCCTAATCTCGCACCAGGAATTAAAATCCTCACATGCCAAGGGCCAAATGCATATTTACATGACAGTGTCCCTGTGGCCGTGTGGACGTAAGCTTAGAGCCCAAGGGGTTATAGTAGTTTCAAAGTTACACACAGGCAGTAAGAAGTTTCACTAAATTTAAGTCCCCAGTATTGCCTTATTTAAGGCATTTACTAACAATTATTTAGTTTTCTATGGTCTCTGTTTTGAGGAGATGGGGGGGGTCATTTGGTATTTTATCACACTAAATGCTTGCTTTGTTTGCTAAAACATCATTATTGTAGAAAAAAGGAAATAAATTGAAAGAAAGAAAGGCCAGGAACTTAAAGAAACAAAGTATAGAGATATTCAGTTCTCCACAATCCAGCTCACGAGGCATTGAGTAGTACAGTGGTATGGAAACCAGATTCTAATGCAAATCCAAGCCTGGCCACTTACTGGTTGCACAAATGATGGGCCTCAGTAACTTCTTTATCTGTGCAATCAGAATACCAATATCTACCATATGGAATTGTTGTAACAATAGAAAGATGACCTACATTTAGAAGCTTGAGCATGGTGCATGACACAAAAAAAACCCCTGCTCACTAGCCATTAACATCACTCCTTAACAAGTCAGAGGGTTTTCCTTTTTCTTCTCCTTTGATGGACAGACCATCACCCATTGGGGCCAATTTGGCCCCATCTTAACAGGAATTAAGAAGTGCTAAACAAGCATTTGTTAATAGAGTGAAACATAATCTCAATGAGTTTTCCAGGCTCCAGCCTGGGGAAACTGTCTGCAGCATTTCTTTATATTCCGGAAAATCAGCCAGAGGCGGGGATGGGTGATAACCCTGACATGAGAACTGTAACTTCTTCCAATGATGCTCTGTTAATGCTTCAAACCTTGGAGGTTTGTTTTATAAGTCCATGGAAGTGGTTTCAACCATAAATGTATTATTAATGAGCATTTATTTCTAAGTTTGTTGCACACAACTGTTTCATTACTTAAAATATCGCTCTTCACAGCTCTCAGTGTTATCAGGAGGTGGAAGAGAAAATGGAGAACACGATGTTATGGCCGGATGTCTGTAACCCCCAGAATTCATAGGCTGAAATCCTAAACCCTGATACATGGTATTAGGAGGTAGGAACTTTTGGGAGTGACTAGGTCATGAACGTTGAACCCTCATAAAAGGAACTTGGGGTGTTCTCTCTGTTCTCTGCCACATAAGGACAGAGCAAGAAGATGGCTGTGAATCAGGAAAGTGGGTCCTCACCACCTACTAAATCTATGGATATGAATACTGAATACAGATAGTGCATTTGCCTTGATCTTGGACTTCTCAGCCTCTAGGTGGACTTCTCAGTCTCCTGAACTCTGAGGAATAAATGTTTCTAGTTTAAGCTACGCAGTCTAAGGTATTTTTGTTGTAGCAGCCTGAATAAAC